TTATATGTGCCTCTTAAAAAGCAGAGGGATCCAATTTCAGGAAAATGCAATTGGTTTGTGCAATGCTGCCTGCACCTTGAGCCCATCAACGTCCTTTACAGAGCAGGGAGGGGACCCTTCTCAGGAGATGTGGACACCCCAGGCATTTGGCGAGGCACCTGCCAGACATCAGGTGAGCTCTCTGGAAGGCACACTGCAACCTCGGAGGCACAGACGGGATGGGAAGGAGCTATGGTAGGCAGGATCCTGAGGTGGTCTCCAGATTTCCATCCCCTGGTGCACACACCCTGTATAATCCCCTCCCCTGGAGTATGACCTGAACCCGTGAGCATGGTGGATGTCACTCTTGGGACAATGCTACTAATCAGGTAACTTTGACTGCATCAGAGGGAGATTATCCGGGGTGTGCCTGACGTAATCAGAGGATCCCCTTAGGAGAAGGTGAATTTCACCAACAACAAGAATGAACTGGAAGAGAAATTCAATCTTCAGATGAGAACACAGCCCTGGCCGATTCTTTATTTGCATTTTGTTGAGACCCTAAGAAAAGGACCCAGCTGACTCATTCCTAGAATCCTGACCCACCGCCACTGTGAAATAATACGTCTGTATTGTTCTAAGCTGCTAAGTTTGGGAGGATTTTTGTTACACAGAAATAGCTAACTAATACATCAGCTCAGGATTGGCAGAGCTGAGGTGGAGGAGGGTGACCAGATGTCCACTGCATGAAGGATGAGGCAGCTGAGCATTTTATACCTGGGCTCTGTACCCTTATAACTGCCCATTTCCCAGGAACTGTAGGGTAGAAACTCACCAGAGCTAATCAGGGTAGAACTTTCCAAGTCAGTGGCCCAGCCGGGAGAAAGGAAACCAGGATGTGTTATTTCTTCCTGACGCCCACACGACAAGTCTGTTTCCACTTTGGCAGGAACCAGAAAGATCCCATATGGAGAGAAAGCAGGGAAAGGAGGACATGTTAGCCAAGGGCATGACACCGGGTTGTAGAGTGTCCCCTCAAAATTCACATGCACTCAGAGCCTCGAAAGAGGGTGTTATTTGGAAATAGGATCTTTGTGCACGTAATTAGTCAGGTTGATATCGATATCCTACAAGGTTGGATCCAATAGGACTAGTGTCCTTATAAGAAGACCATGTGAAGACACAAGGCGGAGGTTGAAGAGATACATCCACCAGCCAAGAGTGGCCAAAGATTCCTGGGAAACCACTGAGTCCCGAAACAGATTGTTCTTCAGGGAATCCATATGGAACCCTCCCTGCTGACAGCTCGACCTCGGATTTCTAGCCTCCAGAACTGAGAGAATATGTTTCTGCTGCTCAAAGACACCCATCGGTATTTTGTCATGGCAGTTGTCGGAAACGAATCTACGTCTTAACAATGGATTTGGATATCAAACATGATTTCCTCCTCTCAAGGGAATTTTGACCAAATAGCCAGTGAGTGTAACACCCAACATGCAAATTGCTGTGAATCACACAGCTTGGACCAGTGTAAATAGTCAAGATAGCAAGACGACAGGTTAGTGCCCACAGATAATTATTTCAGCCACCCCTTACCATGAATAAATCTCACAGAGCTGGAGAAAATGATTTAGGGTCCGGCCCCACTGAGATTCTCTACCTCCGTCTTGGGGCAAGAATATTTCAGAGTAGAGGGATAGTGGGAAGATTTCCCAACACATCCCATCCACAAAGTGGTTTCCTGAGTCCTGAAACAGATTGTTCTTCAGGGAATCCATACGGAACCCTCCCTGCTGACAGCTCGACCTCGGATTTCTAGCCTCCAGAACTGAGAGCATACATTTCTCCTGCTCAAAGAGCCCCATCGGTATTTTGTCATGGCAGTTGTCGGAAACAAATCTATGTCTTAACATATGTCTCCACGTCCCCTCCAGTTGGGGTCTGCTGGTGACGAATCATCCTCCTGTCCACTCACGTCTGTCCTAGGTCTTGTCCTCACCCAAGTCTGGTTATCATACGAGAAGCAAGGACCTTCTGGTTGCCAACACACCAATACAATTATTTTAATTGGTTTAGATGGACTTAATTGGACAAAAGGTGGCCTGAATGCTTGAGGAGCTCACTGTAAGTCCTGCATGACCAATATTATTGATGACAAAGGAAGCTTCTGCAGAAACAAAGAGGAGCTCCTTAAAAGAAAGGCAGAAGTCCATCACGTTTGGTATGTTAGCTCAGGCTGCAGTAACAGCATACCATAGACGGAGGTTGTGGGGAGGGATGGCTTAAGCACAAATTTATTTTCTTGCTGGTCTGGAGGCTGCAAGGATGAGACCCCGGTGTCAGCACAGTCACATTCTGGGGAGGATTGTCTTCCTGGCTTGGACATGACCTCCATCTTGTGCATTTTCGCATGGCAGAAGGAATGAGTTCATCTCTTCTTCCAAGGACAGTAAACCCACCCTCGTCTGACCCTAATCACCTCCCAAAGACCCCACCTCTGAACCTCATCCCACTGGGGGAGTAGGGCTTCCCCATGTGAACTCTGGGGGACACAATTCACTCCATGTACTCAGCCTTCCCCGTTGTTATAAACAGCATCATCCAGATGCTCAAACCAGAATCCCGAGCGCATGCCTGACTCTTACACCCCCTTCTCCCCCCACATTCGGAACACTTTCAAGCTTTGTCCATTCTCTCCAAGGCACGTACTTCCAGTCTGCCCATTTTCTCCATCATGGCGGCCACCAGCCAGGACCGAACAACCACCACCATCTTGGACCATGGTCACGCTTGACTACATGCGCTCACTTGCCCTTTCCTATCGTTCTCCAAGCATTGGTGCAGAGGCGGCCGCCATGACACCATCCATCCAGAGCCACTCACATGCCACGGGCTGTCGACGACTGCCTGGCACCCCAGCACCTCCTCCAAGACCACGTGCTCTCATGCCTCAACCTCTCCATTTCTCCCTCCCATCCCACCTGCCCTCCCCACGTCAGGCACACCAACCTTCCCCCAGGTCTCTGAACCCACTCAGTCCTTCCCGCCCTCCCATAGATGGAGCAGAAGAAATAATTATAGAATTGATAGAAGACAAACGTTGTCAGCCGAAGGAATCATGGGGGGAAAAAATGGTGATGTCGGAGGTCTCACTGAAAACGTAAAACAGACCCGATCCTAGACACGGGCAGATGTGTCAAACCAGATAAAATAAAGAAAACTCTCCAAGGGTTTACGAGGAATGAAAATAACAGAAGGGTCCAGCTGGTCTGGTTTCATTTCATCTCGGACATAAGAAATGGCAGAGTGCTATTGGATTTGCCCGGCAGTGATGGGGGGAAAATCGTTATTAAGAATTCCACAGGGGAGCGCCTGGGGGGCTCAGTCGGTGAAGCGTCCAACTTCGGCTCAGGTCATGATCTCACAGTTGGTGGGTTCGAGCCCCGCATCGGGCTCTGTGCTGACAGCTCAGAGCCTGCAGCCTGCTTCGGATTCTGGGTCTCCCTCTCTCTCTGTTCCTCCCCCGTTCATGTTCTGTCTCGCTCTCTCCTTCAAAAATAAATAAAAACATTAAAAAAAAAAAAAAAAAGAATTCCACAGGTTGGGGCACCGACCGGCTCAGTCGGTTAAGCAGCTGACTTTGGCTGGGGTCATGATCTCACGGTTCGTGGGTTCGAGCCCCACGTCGGGCTCTGTGCTGACAGCTCGGAGCCTGGAGCCTGCTTCCCATTCTGTGTCTCCCTCTCTCTCTGCCCCTCCCCTGCTCGTGCTTGCTCTCTGTTTCCCTCAAAAACAAATACACATTAAAACAAAATCATTGGGGCGCCTGGGTGGCTCAGTCGGTTGAGCGTCAGACTTCGGCTCAGGTCATGATCTCACGGTTCGTGGGTTCGAGCCCCGCGCCGGGCTCTGTGCTGACAGCTCGGAGCCTGGAGCCTGCCTCGGATTCTGTGTCTCCCTCTCTCTCTGCCCCTCCCCTGCTCGTGCTTGCTCTCTGTTTCCCTCAAAAACAAATACACATTAAAACAAAATCATTGGGGCGCCTGGGTGGCTCAGTCGGTTGAGCGTCAGACTTCGGCTCAGGTCGTGATCTCGCGAGATCTCGTGTGATCTCGCGTGAGTTCGAGCCCCGCATGGGCTCTGTGCCGACAGCTCGGAGCCTGGAGCCTGCTTCTGATTCTGTGCCTCCCTCTCTCTCTGCCCCTCCCCCACTCATGCTCTGTCCTTGTCCCTGTCAAAAATAAATAAACATTAAAAGTAAATTAGAAAAAATAATTCCATGGGGAAGACCATAGGGGAATGACCTCTTTGTCCCCCAAATACCATGGCAATAATTTCAAATACAGTCCACTCAGACCATGGCTTTTCACTCAGTAATTCTGCGGTGTTCCAGTCATGCTCTGTACAGGGAACCGCTCTAGGGAATCCTGCAGTGAAACTGTCTATCCCCTAAATCAAACAATTTTTGTCACGGTTGACTATTTGCATCAGGAGCACTCAGAACATGGAAAGAGGGTTCCATTCTTAATCCGCACTTCAAAAAAATAAAATAAAATAAAACCATCAAAAACCTAAGGCAAAACAGATTATGATGTGCAAATGCCTTGCTAAAATCAGGGTGCAGAGAACGTATCCGTGCCCTCACATCTCTCAAGCCAAGGAACAGGAACAAAGTACCCTTAATAGGATTTTTTTGGACTATGACCACATAATTTGCATTTTCCTCTCCAAGGGACAAAACCAGAATTGGCTGATTTTCATTGGTTCAGTACTTTTCTCTGTAGATTAGTGCCCCTCAAAGGAGGGGGAACATCCTCCCACATTAATATTTAGAATTGAAAACCTTTTTAAGAATTTAAGTATTTTCTACAATCCCCTCAAAGGTCATATCCTAACAAAAAAAAAAAAAAAAAAAAAAAACACGTCACATTTGTTTGGGAAAGACACCCGTACCAGGCAGGGTATTTTAAGAACCTGGGCACCCATGACTGGGCTGATATGGGTCTTTTTTATGATTTCAGAAACTCAAGATGCTCCTTTCAATTGAGGGAGGATCCCGTCTAACGCCTTGGACGTGAGTTGGCACGAACCAAACCCGCACAGAACAATCCCCATGCCCTCTGTGCTCAAGGAGACCCGGAGAACCTGGTAAGTGTGGGCTGAGTGCAGGTGAGTGTGCCCGTGGCCTCTGTGTGCTCGCCATGCACCATCAATGAATCACAAATCAAATAAAACGTGTGCATCGACTCTCTCCGTCTCCACCAGAGCCCTGGCCAGGAAGATGCTTTTATGGCCATTGTTTTTTTAACGACAACATCGAGGCACATGATATGTATATTAGCTATTATTTACATATATTGTATATTTTCATATATTACGCATGACCTCATGTGCAAGGGCTTGGATACGCGTACAGACAGCGGCAGAGGCGGGCAGAAGACAGAACTGGTGTCCACAACATGCTCGTGAGCTGTCGGAAAACCCGCACGGCTCAGAATTGTGGAATCGGAAGAACCTTCCTTCCAGGCAGGAAAGTGCTTTGCCCGGAATTGTTGTCGGCTTCTCCCTGCAAGTGGCTGTGGCTCTCACAGCCCTGGTGTCTGCGTCCCAGATTTCCCCCGAGAACTCAGAGTCTAGGGCTTGGTCATTACAGCACATCACAGCAGAAGTTCCCTAGGGGTTGGCTGTGCTAACGTCACGCACTGTGTCCCCCACCAGACCCCCGCAGGGCTGCCCTCAGCCCCCTCAGAGATAGCAGGTGGCCACATGGCAGGCTCCGCATTCGAATCTCCGTATCCTCTGTGCATTGACAGGCAGAGGACATATAAAGAATAAAAAGGCACTTTCCAAAAAAAAAAAAAAAAGCAAACTGGTGGCATTCTTCTTGTCCTCAAAGGGGTCTCCCACGTGGATGTTTGACCGTGAGGTCCGTGCATGTCCCAGGGGACATGATACAGGAAACAAACAAAAGCACCCTCACAATTAGGGATAAGGTCTGTTTGTACGTGTGCACCTGCTGCAGGAAACTCGCCCGGAGTTTTTGTTCGCTGTGAAAGATCTTTGCAGCAACGGTTGTCAGGAACCGTGGAGAACAGGAGGCATGTGGCCGCCCCACGCCCTCTCCAGAGGCAAAGACAGACTCGTTCGAAAGCTCATCTGACGCAGACTGTCGTCCAGACAGGACCTCCGTGCACCTTCCAGTTTCCCTTCTTCAAACCTGGACGGGCCCGGCGCGCGCGGGGAGGGGGGCCCGGGCACGCGTGCAACCTGGGATGAGCGGTGGGGACCGGGCTGCTGCTCACGTCCGACCCCCCTTCGCAGCCGAGCAGGGACCTCTCTGCATCAGGAAGACGTGTGACGCGTGCAGGCAGCTGGTCTGACCTGGGAGGCTCTGCGGGGACCTCCGCGCTCAGGCTGAGAAACCGAAGTCTGGACGGGGCGGTGACGTGTTTGGGGAACCGGAGCGCGTCTGAGCTCTTGCGCCTCCAATTGTGTCTCCACGACTGCGGGCCTTGCACGCCTGCACCTGCCTCAGCCTGGAGCCCTCCGCTCACACGTGTGCTTGGCCCAGACACACACACACACACACACACGCACACCCCTACGTACTTTACAAACTGCTAAACACACATAACCCACGACAACGTAGTTTGGAATATCTCCCCCGGACAGGTGCCATCAGAAAGGTGGTTCTCTTTTGGTCAAACATAGCGGCAGCGAGGACTTTGTTTTCTTATTATGTCAAATGCTTTCTTATTTACTTATTATATATGTTATTATATATATCACGATATTTATTATCTATTTACTATATATTATACATTATCGTATGTAATAAATGCATAGTAAAGTAAATATATATCACATATATAAAATAGTATATAATTATATATGTACAATTATATGTAATAAATGTGTTATATATAATTATATGCATGATTATGCACATAACAAATTATATATAATTTATTGTATATATAATTATACATACATATACTTATATATATAATATATTTTATATATATATTTTTATATATTTTATATATATTTTATATATTATATATCTTACATATATTTTATTTTATATGTATAAATTTTATATTTTATATATTTTTTATATTTTTAATATTTTTATTATTTATATATATTTTTTAATCTTTTTTTTTTTAACGTTTATTTATTTTTGAGACAGAGAGAGACAGAGCATGAACAGGGGAGGGGCAGAGAGAGAGGGAGACACAGAATCCGAAACAGGCTCCAGGCTCCGAGCTGTCAGCACAGAGCCCGACACGGGGCTCGAACTCACAGACTGTGAGATCATATACTTCTATAATACTTCTATAATACTTATTTAACATTTTAATTATATATAACAAATCTATTATATACTTATATAATGTTACATATAATAATTGTATATAATAAATCCATTTATCATATGTAATTATATGTATGATTACGCATATAATAAATATTAAAATAAATATATGCATATATAATATATAAACCCATAATAAATACATTGTATATTATATATATATATATATAATAGTCACTTATGGTTGCAAATCCCCCAAAGAGGTAGATTCTTGCCTTCCAAAGCATTTTGAACGTACCCCTCCTCTTCCTTTACCTCCGGCCACCTGCCCACATCCACCTGAGTTGTGAGAAACATGTTTTATTACAGTTCTATGTATTTTTTCCCTATCTGCATGGGCTTGTGAATCGCGCCAGGATTTCTTCTGCTCTCATATGTGTGTGTCTGTGTGTGTGCTTTAATTTTGCAGAAGAGAATTCCCCACGAATGGATGCTTAAGTTTTCAATCGTAGTCAGAATTAAATCCAAGGTGTTTTGAACCCCGTCGAAGGCTCTGACTGGGATCCAGGGGCCGGGAGGTGCTTTCCTGACGGAGACAAGATGGCCAAGCACACGGCTCAGGACGAGCAGAAAGGGTCCAGCCCCCGGGGTGGCGCACAGGGACGTGGAGGGGGCAGGGCGTCCACCCGCAGCCCAGGTCCAGGAAGGTGCACGTGCAGCCCAGGTGACTGTCTGTAGGGACTGACAAAGGCAGAGGCAGGGGAGGGGCACAGGTGGCAGGTGGGAGGCACAGAGCGGGGATTCTCCAGGTAGCTAACTACCCATGGCAAGCACTGATCACACAGAGTCACAGTTGTACAGTTTCTCGGAGACACCCCGACCTCGAATACCTATCACTCTCTCGGTTGTCCTGAGCCCGACCCTAAGGAGGCTCAGCCCTTGCATTCGTCAGGGCGCTCCAGAGAAACAGAACAGACAGGATGGGTATATGTATACAGAAATGTTAACCTCATGCAAAACCAAACAAAAACAGACAACAACAATGAAAAAAAAACAACCTTCGCAGAAACCTCCAGATCATATTTGGCCACATCTCCGGGCACCAAGTTGATACATGAAATGTGTCCAGAGCGGGAGCAGGCTCCATAAAGTCCCAAACAGAAAATGTATGGCTGTGCTTGCACAGCAGGCAGGGGCTACGCCCCATTAACCAAATATTACTCGCCAAGCAAAATATGTGAATTCACAAAACTCCCACATCTTCCTGCCTCGTGGGCCTGGCTCAGAGACACAAACTCAAAGGTACAAACTTCAAAGGTACAAACTTCACCGTTCTTTATCCCCATGTACACATCCACAGCCTTCCCCAGAGAGTCTGAAAAAGACAATGGTGCCTTGGTGTCTTTTGTGGCAAAGAATTTATTTTTTTGCTTTGGCAGAAACAGCAGCATCGCTCACAAGCTCCCAGGTGAGGTCAGTGCTGCAGGTGCGTGGGACACATTCGGGGCGTCAGTGGACAGACCTTCACCCTCCAAAGTCCAGGAGGACACAGAACTGGGCCTGAATACGTTTCTTGGTGCCTGGTCTCTATGGGGTCTCCTTTCCTGAGTTTCTGTGAGTCCTTCGGTATCATCCAAGCAAGGTGTTGCCCCAAACCTGGGAGCCAGCTCTGCGGCAGGATGCGGCCACCCAGCACATCTCCTGGGTAGTTTTGTTAACCCAGGCGGGAAGCGTGGCTCATCAACCAAACGGCCCGTGCTGTGCACGTCTGCCTTATATTTGTGCCTGTGCAGAACTATTTCAACACGTTAGTCTGGACGAGGGCGGGAAGACAGAAACTGAGAGTGTGGTTGGTTGCACGGGCCCGTGATCACATTTAAAGAAGGCCAAGCGAGAAAATCGGAATTGGGTGTCCTGTGTGGAAAGGTACCTTGGTTCTATGGCTATGGCTATGGCCAGTCGCCCAGCTCTGATGGCTCAGAGCCTGGAGCCTGCTTCCGATTCTGTGTCTCCCTCTCACTCTGCCCCTCCCCCACATGCACTCTCTCCAAATAAAGAAATAAATAGATAAATGAGCATAAAAAAAAAAAATACTGGCCAGAGCATGTCTGTGTGCACTAAGGGCCGCCTCTGCGGGAGGCACGGGAGGATGGGCCTATCAGGGCAAGGTTGCTTTGGAAGCGTTTCTGACTGGTTTGAAGCAGCTAATGGCAAGCACCCCAGGACCTCCCCACAGCAGGCGGGAGATTACACCAGGACTTCTGGGGTCTCCAGAGCCGCCTGACTTTTTAGCTGTTAACTGCTAGGAAGCTGGGGAAAGGGACAGGCTCAGGCTGGTGCCAGCCGGGCCAATACCCACACCGGCTATACGCTGTTCACGCTGAAGGCAGAAGGAAGGGCCCTCCTCTCCTGCTTGCTGTGTGTGTGTCCCCTGGTTGGTGTCCACTCGGTGCTCCTTTTAAATTTTTTTTAACGTTTATTTATTTTTGAGACAGAGAGAGACAGAGCATGAACGGGGGAGGCTCAGAGAGAAAGGGAGACACAGAATCCAAAGCAGGCTCCAGGCTCTGAGCTGTCAGCCCAGAGCCCGACGCGGGGCTCGAACTCACGGACTGTGAGATCATAACGTGAGCCGAAGTCAGACGCTTAACCGACTGAGCCACCCAGGCGCCCCTCGGGTGTCCTTTGAGAGAAGATGTGAGAAAACATCTCTCCCGGCCCCCTCCCTGCACGACGTCACAGACAAAGTCACGGGTGAGCAGCGGAACAGGCAAGATTATAGAAACGTGACGGTAAGTAGGGAATCAGGTCGAGGCCCCTGGGCGGGTTGCAGATACGGCTTCTCCTACCAGAAGGAGGCCACAGTCACCTTATGCATTCACCTGGCACCAGGGGTCTGAGAATGAAGGGTCTGAGCCCATCTGCCTGGACACCAAAGACGGCACACGGCAGAATCCAGTCAGTGACTCCTGAGGACCCCCACATCTTCTCCCCTTCCTTCGTTCCGCCTCTTTGTGAGTTAACTCAGCAAGCGTTGATCAATCTGGTGCTTTAAGGGGCCAGGCACCATTCTGGTTCTAACCCACAAGCCAGGGGAGGTTCTGGCTCAGTGTCCAACCCAGCAGGACATGGCCATCCCAGTGTCCATCTGGACGAGCGGACAAAAATGAACGAATAAAGATGCTAATAACTCAGTACAACACACTGTGTGTTTTACAACGTGGTCGTGAGTGCCTCGAGGAAGAGACCTCGCCCTGGTTCCTTAATCTGTCTGAGTTTAAGTCTCCTCACCTGTGCAATGGGACATATACTGTCCTATCTTCCAACGTAAGCCCATCATGGCCGTCACTAATATGGCAACCATCACCGTCAAGATTAGCATCATCATCATTGCCGTGTTGCAAGACAGGAAACTGAGGCTCGCAGGAGTCCGGCATCACCCAGGGTCACAGAACTAATCATTAATGCCACCATCATTCATGCCCAGTACGTCCCAATACAAAGCTCTTCTCCTCTTGCCTACTGGTTGTACAACATGTCACAAGC